GTGTACAAGTTAATAACATTTTCAAATTCTGCATGTTAGTTTCAAATCTTAGAAAAATTGTGAATGCGTAACACGTGTATCGTGATAGTATTGTTACAATAAATAATTCTCCAAAATATATTATTTGTAGATAGATAACTAACATTTGAAATTTTGTAAACAAACCAATGACTTCAGAATATGTCTTATTTCAAGTTGCAGACTCATGAAAAACAAGTTGTTTTTTTATGATCTAAACCATATAAATCAGACTTTTTTTTTATAAATGAATAGTTTTTATTAGTTAAGGTGTTTTAGTCAATGGCTCTTATGGGTGAAATAATAGGTATTAAGTAAGTTCTTTTTTCTCTTAAATTGGTTTCATACATTTTCACAAAACCTTTTAGGACAAACAATTATTCATTTGTTTATCAGCAGTTTTAATGTACTTAACTATCAATAATGATTGTGTATGATACTGTTGAACTCGTGTCTTCTGGAGAAGGAAGGTTCCAGGTGTCATCTTAAGTTTTGAAAAACAATACACCCACAAACAGTCTGTAATATTTAATTGGTAAAACCTTGGTTTAGGCTTAGTAACGTAAAGTGATAAAACCATCTATTTGTAACCTAAATTGAAAGTTGAAGAGTACTGGCATACATGTATATTCATCCATAATCAAAGATTTTGACAGACAATTAGTTTACTTCACGATTCAATTGTGTAACATCTTATTTTATGGGAATCAGTTGTGTAGCATCTCATTTCTCTGGATACAGTTATGTAGCTTCTTATTCCCTGGGAATCAGTTGTGTAGCATCTCATTTTTCTGGATACAGTTATGTAGCATCTTATTTCTTTGGGAAAGTCGTAATATGACAACAGCTAATATTTCTGAGGCATTACTAAATCAGTGAACTATTCAAATTGATACAGTCATTGAGCAGTGTTTCCATACATATCACACCATTTACTGAGATATTCAGAAAACATAGTTCATGCATACAATATAAAAATTACAAAACATGAAATATTATAATGTTGAACTGAGGGTATCACGTGACCATGCTGCGATGCCCTTATTGTGAAACATTTGTGACTAGCATACTTTTAGTATCAATGACTTGACTTGGTAGCAGAAACTAAGTACTTAGTCTTTAATAAACGAACATTATTTATGAAAATATGGTTGGTATTCTAGTAGATTAAACTAATGATTAATGTGACAATTATTAGTCTTTTTGTTTGTTTTTTTACTTAATACATGCAGTAGAATTCTAAAATAGAATGTTGAAATAAAAATCTAAAAAGGCCAAAGAATTATTTCCAGTGAACACACAAATAGATAAAAGACAAGATTTGAAAAATGTGAGTCTGAACAAAAGTGTCAGCTCATGATTAATTAAAACTTGAAATAAACCAGATGATCAGCATTAACTAATGTTGATACTTAAATTTAAAATAGTTCTTAAGTTTAAAAAAGAATATCTGGATAAATTCAGGTTTTTCAAAATTAATTTAGCTGCTAAATAAATCGTAGCAATTGAAATTGATACGGAAACTTTTTTTCCTTTAATTATTTAAAGTCTATGTCAAAATAGAAAAGTTTATTGTTTATCCAGAGAAGGATAAGAACACGACTGTTGTAAGAAAGAGTAAAATAAACATTGTGACCAGTGAAGGATGAACATTGTCAACTCCATCTTTGTTACAGCCGTCGTCTTTGCAGCAGTGAACACATGAATATTCTGAGCTGCTTCTGTCACAGTGATCAAGCCCAAGACCTGTGCTCTGTTTACTGTCAAGTAGATTACACGGGCCTAAAGCACATGTTTTCGTAATGATAAATCTTGACTCTAGAAAGATAGGGAAAAAAGTTAATTACAAGTCCAAACAATATCTTTTACAAAAAATGTCATAATAGGTTTCTACAAAAATCGTGGGAAACATCATAAAATAAAGGCTCAGGAGGTTAGCCCCCGATCACTAAGCAGCAAGCTTGTGAGCTTATAATGCTAAAATTTGGGGTTCAGTCCCTGTGATATGTACAGCGTAAGTTAAATAATTCATTCCGCAGCTTTGCGATTACATGATATGTTTGAATTAAATATCTATATATGCATCGGAAAATGGAGTTTATTTTTATATTATTGGTAATTAAAGTTTACAATAAAAATGCATGGTGTTAAAAATATGTATTAACTAGCAAAAGTACCCAACTTCGCTCAGGTTACGAGGTTGATTTATTCTAGATGACTATGTCAGTGTGTCTATTCTCAACCCATTTTAGCATAAAAGTATGACCTATATACTTTTGTTGCTTTTTTATGGGATGTGGCTTGCTTATAAAGGTAACCTTCTCTCTGACTTGTTCTTTGATTTGAAACTTAAATAATAAAAAAAACAACCCTCTTTAATTAACAAAGCCTCTAAGTTAGAAAATAACAAATATTTTTTCAATTTTTGTAGTTTATACATTTC